CCCGTTAGTTCATGCTTTGAGTGTGCCTGAATACATCAGCGCCAGAACTACAGTGCCTTAAAAATCCATTACATGGGAAACACAGCCATTAATCCTAAATTGCAATAATGTGTATTAGGTAGAAATTTGGGGGTGATGGGATGAAGACTTTAGCCTCTTCTTTAACTGTAGTGGACGATTGTTCTGGAAGCGTTTAAAACCTCTTTGAAATGATGTCTGATAGCAATCACTGTTGCTGGGGAAATAAACATGATGGCACATGAAGAAAATACTGCTCTCAAAGGGGAGTAGGCAAGCGGAGCAGATAAGCCCTTATGTAACAAAGGACTCTCTTGCTCTCCAAGTGTCATCTCTAACAAAACAAAACATGAGGCAGAGTGACTGAAAACACCTTAGAAAATTTGACTGTGCTTAGCTACATTATATAATAGGACATCAGCAATTCTTTATCTAGAGTCTGAGGCATTTCACCCATTCTGTGTCTCTAGGCTTCATAAGTTGTTTTTTTATTCTTCCCTTTACAAATGAAAATGTGTGTCTAAGACCATTACTGACTTACAAACACTAGATTTCTCCCCAGTGTTCTTTCTTAATCTCCTGTGGTTCAGGGAACACTAAAATACAAAGATTATCATGCATTTGATATTACAGATAATATCTTCATCTCTGAGGTTCTTAACCCTCCTGGGGCCCCTTCCTTAGGAAAATTCAACCGCTGCCACTACTTTGCGACTCAAAACCGAAAAGCACTTTTCTTCTGCATTCTGACCTTCGCTGTAAGCATTGCAAAGGGCTGAACCGAAGAAATAAAAGATCAGGAATCCTTCTGCACAGTACACGCTCTTAACCTCCACCATTGCTGGCAACAAGTCCTGCTTTAATCCAAGCAAGGACAAACACAAAACCAGCTCGCGTCATCAGACCTTGGGACAATAATTCCCACAGCTGTGCAGTAATGACATTCTCAGCATGGCAGATCTCTATCTAAAGCTCTGCTAATTGGTACGAAGAGGAATGTCTGCACAAACATTCATGTCTCAGACATTCCTGAGCTCTACTGCAGCCCTGACTTCATGTCATAAGCCCCAAATAAATGTTTCAGCCCTCCTGACAAGCAGGGCACAACCATAGGTAAAATAGCAGAAATCTGACCTGGATCCCGGGACAGCAAGAAAAAAGAGACCAGAGGAAAAAGACTTTGATCCAAATATTTGGACTAGATCATCATCATCATAGATCCCTTCCAACTGAAATATTCAATTCGATTTGATTAGATCAGATATTAGTGTAGGTAGTATGAACACAGAGCAATACAAACTAAGAGTGATTTGGAAGAAGCCTGGTCCACTGAAAAAGTTGTTTTTTAAGAGCACAATCCAGCCAGGGCAACAATCCCCCTAAGGTTCAAAGCCCCATCTTCCAGCTGCAGTGGTGTTTCTTTCCATCCCCTTTACTGTGGACTGAGCAACCAAGGACCAGCACAAAGGTGCTATTGAACAAAAAATAAACCTGCCATCAGCTCTTCTGCCTAAACCAAAGCAAAGGAGTGGCCAGCTGTGGATTACAAGAGAAAAAGTGGCTCATGGTGTAACCAAAGAAGCTGGTCCATGCAGTGGACTTCTATTTACACATTTCTGATCTAATTGGCAGTGATAGCACCAAACAGAAATGGCAATTCAGACAGACCTTCAACAGCACCTTCAGTGATCACACCCCCTCCAGGTCGGCAGATGAAGAGCCCGGGGAGAGTTCAGCCTGCTTTTCAAGGTTGCAAGGTTTAAAGGGCAAACCACACTGCAGATACAGCTCCAGGGAAGCAAATCAACTCCTGCATCCCCTCAGCCACACCATGTGTGCCTCCAGCTCTGGACACACATGCACAATGTGGCTTTATCCCAACAAAGAAACATTTGTGTGTTCACTGTTCACACCCACACTCGTATCTACTCTGGTCAGAAGGATTTTGGTGAAAATGAGGGGCTACACAGAATTTCTTTTTCTCTTCTTGTCTTGTCTTTGCTGAGCTTTGCTCCTCACTTCTACATGATGGTGAGAGCCTTTATAGCCCAGCAGTTATAATTTATCTTCCATAAGTAATCTTTAGGGCTATGTGTACTGCCCCACTCATGTTCAAGTCAGAAAGCATGATTGACAAGTGTCAAGTATTAGGGTAAAGATGAGTAAATCAGTGACATGAAGGGGAAGAGGAAGAGCTGCAGGTAACATATCTCCCCAGCCTCCTTGCTACCCCATGGTCGTATGGACATAGCTGATAAATGGATTAAAGGATTCACTGGTCAACTGCCCCCAGCACACACAGTCACCATGTGGAAGAGAGGCCACAAACCTGATGCTGAAAATACCCAAAATAGGCTTATGCGTGAGGCAGCATGAGGGGAAGCCCCACGGGTCCCATCGTGGCCAGGAGCAAGATGTCCTGCCTGCCTTCTGCATGGCCAACCCTGCTCATGTGCCAGGGCTGCCCCAGGATGAAAAGGGAACAGACAAAGGCAAAGAAGAAGAAAAACGTACTCTAGTATGAAAGATTTGTTTTCCCTGTTCCTCTTCGCACACCGAAGTAGCAAAAACTTGCAGAGAATGGAAAAAGTCTAAAGCAAAAACAGCAGCAGCAGCAAATACAATTACTATTTCCTAAATAAAAACCAGCTCTTTCAAAATCAGGTTTATAGCTCAGAGAAAGATTCCAGGGGACACATTCTTTTTTCCTGCTGTGTAGATTTGTAAAACAAATTAGGTACCCACCTGAGTATTGCATAAGACACCAATTATAAACATTTATTTTGAGTAAAAGAAAAACTGATGAGCCATGCCGGTTAACTGCCATCCCTGAACGATGCAGGCTTCTTCCATGTCTCTCTTCTTCCACTAAAAACAGAGGAGTGTTTTATGAGCAAACGGTAAAACCTCAGGTCTCATTTTCCAATTTAAAGTCTCAGAGATGCTCAGCACTGTGTTCTTACCCTGTAACTATCCTCCAGTCTCCTTTAATCACACTCAATGGTCTTAGCTCGGCTCTCACTGGCTTGCAGCAGCCCTTTGCAAAACACTTTATCATGATTTTTATACCAGCTATCCCCGTCTCCCCCACCCATGATTTTCTCTGCCAGGTTTTCTCTCCGGATGGTGAAGCTCAGTGTCTCTGCCTGAAACCAGAACCAAGTCTGGCCCCTAACACCTATAGGAGACAGCACTCCTGACCCACGGAGGAAAGCAAACTTTTCCACCAAACTCTCCCCACTTGGCTGATACTCAGCTTAACCCCGGTTTCACTGCTCATCTATAGAGCTGACGTGTTTTACCAAAGGAACAGGCATCCCTCCCCTCCTTTCACAGATGTTGATGGTGAAACACTTAAACTGCAGAGACCAAGGCGCAGGGTCCCTTGGCTCTCCGCCCGCCCGGGAGCCCCGCTCCCCTCCCAGCCCCGGGCCGTGCCTTCAGGCCCCCGTGGTGGGCGGAGAGGGACCCCACGCCGGGCAAGGAGCAGCTCGGGCTGTAAAACGCCTCTCGCCGGGGCGGGAGGCAGCGCTTGCCTCCAGGATGCCCACGGGCGACAGGAAGGGGGGACACTGGGGGACAACTCCCGGGGGCGCGGATCAAGACCCCTCGGTGCTGGGGGGGAGACGCAGCAGGTTGGCGCCGGAGAGGCTCTGCCCGGACCTCGGCCAGGGCGAG